GAACTCACAAATATCCTCCGTATTTGTATGAATATCACAGTGTTGATGCTTAGATCTTTTAGCTAGTGACACGTGAAGCACCAGACAACATGACACTAATAAATCCTGTGGAGCATCAAGTCATTTGTGAACAAAAATACACAAAAAAAATGGAGTTCTGCTCAAGGCTAATTTAATCTATGATTCTGGCATTCTGTGCAAGATGGGAGGCTAAATCCTCACCCTTGGGGCACGTGTTTCTGTGCACTGGAACGGTCTAACAAGATCCATCACTGCTCTGAAAACCAACAAACAATTAATCAGCATGAAGGGATGCAAATGAGGGTTCTACCGCAGGCAGGCTAAAGCCGATTACATGACTGCACATAGGCAGCCGTGCGACACTGCGAGCTGCAGGGGAACCACTTTACAGGCCCAGTACTGAGTTAGGATTAATTTAATATGTTCTGATTTGATAGCAAAATGAAACTGATTTTATTAAGGTAGATTTGTTTGCTCACAAGATAAGGGGATGTGTTTACAGCAGGGATTTTCAACCTGCGTCCCACGACCCCCTGTGGTGCCAAAGACCATTTGCAAGGGAATGCAACAGGATGCTCTCCCCCCACAGAGAAAGTAGTGTTAAAGACCCCCACACCCCACAGCCCACCCCCTGGAGGTCTCTGGTTTACTGGATGAAAATATGGGATCTGGGAATGCTTCCAGTAATGTTTGAAGCATCACTTTGATTATCCATCCATCGATACCTCCTACGTTCAGTACTGATTTACAGTGAACACAGTAAGGGCAATTTAGACACATCAGTTCAGCATGTCTTTGGAATCCACAGTACTCAATAAAAACCTACACAGACTGGGGGAGAGAATGCAAATTCCACATACAGGGATCCAGGAGCGGGATTTGAACCCTTAACAACGATGGAGAGAGTCAGAATTTTTTGTAGACAGTTATAATTGCATTGTAATTGTATTTCGGGTAAACACTGAAGCTGTTGACATTTGACCTGAGATTATTAGCACCTGTTGTGAAAGATTATTGTAACAAAGACAAAATATTTTTTCAATGGCTGTGGCTCCGTAAATGTGACATTTACTGAGATTCCAGAAACGTACTTTTCCATTGCTATGGACACATCACCGCGTGCTTCAGCATTATTAATGATTAAATATGAAGCTGGAGTTGCAGGATGGAGGGGATTCATGTGCGCAGCCCTTCACCCATTCGCATAGCACCAAGACAGGGAGAGGACTGCGTCACGCAACAAAATCCAACCTAAGCTTTAAATAAACCTAACCTTTGACTAGCCCATTAATGCATGAAAAAAACATGAGGCAGGAAAGAATAGTCTTTAGAAAGCCTAAAACTCTAATGGGACCAGTGGATTGTGGTTGCAACCCCCAGTATGATCCAACCAATCAGATTACTGAAAGGTCACTGACCCATAAGAGAACCCATACAAGAATAACTGGGGGGGGGAAAACAGCCATCCATCAATTTTCAATAACCTCTCATCCTGCAGGGTCAAGAGGAGCTTGGAGCCAATCCCAGGAAGCAGAGGGACATTTCTTAGCTTAGCCTCTACCCACATATTTCCCAGGAGACACTGCACACAGATCCTAAAGCCTCGGCCAGGCAGAAGGTGGAGGCCACTGACAGACTATCTATTGAAACCAAATTACAGACAACTCCACACTCGCTTTCTCAGCGCGACGGATTCAGAGGGGCTCCGGAAGAGCCGCAGGCTTCGTAATGCCACGACGGATGCAAATCAGCTACTGTTGCTTGGTGAGCGCATCGCTGTGCTTGTCCAGCCACCCTAGAGACTCACTGCTCTCGCTCTCCGGCAAACACACATTTTTAAATAATCACCATCCCAGTTTATTGCGAGTGACAGAGAGAGAGCATTCATCGCCCTCCGAAGCAGAATCACAGCTCATCTCAGATTGATTACAAAGTAAAATAACTATCCTTTTACATAGTAGCTTAAGTCAATGAGCAAAAACTTCACAGTACATTACAGAAATTAACAGATAGCTAAAATACAGATTTACACCAGAAAATAACTCCTCCATGAAGTAAGCCATTAGCTACAGCTACAGGAATATGAAAGCAGATGAAGTTCAGTTCTCTCATAGTTACTGCTTCGTAGGTGCGTGACCTTCCTGAACCCGCACCCCCACACACCATGATTTATATGCTCATTCTCTCCCGTGCTCTAAACATCTCACGCGAAAATCGATGACTGAGCACAGGGAGAACAGAGCATAAGGAAACTCTGCGTGATTCTGCAGTGCTTGCAGTATATTCACGCCCACAGGCTGAATATCGGAAAGGCGTGACCTCAGGAACGTGCGGTTTTCATTTTTGTGTGTTTTTTTTAAGTGTAGGATGGAGACCAAGCCTGCTGCTGCGAGGACCACGTGACCCACACTGAACCGAGTCGACTCTGGGCTCAGAAGGTACATCTGTGCCCCTCATGCAGATTCAGCCACACGTTCAGTCAGCGAGAGCAACCCACACCCAGCCATATCCTGATACATCCATGTTATTACCATACTAATACCGCCAAAATCCTACCTTTCTGGTTTTTAGAAGAATCACAAACCAGGCATTAATCCGTCTTATAGGGCAAAAATCACTCAGTTTATGTTGTGCCAAAACAGCGCCAACACAAAATCATTGAGTGCACCTGAAATCAGTGAGCGGCTGCGATCCCCAGAACCACACAGCAGTCAGGGACCGACTGGCTTCCACCTGTGGGTGCATATTATTAATCTGAGGATACATAGCAACCTTAGGCACCCTTATAAACCCACCATCTGGAAACAAATACAAGGGATTTATTATTAACTAGCAGATGAGCGGATGTTCAGTCACAGGGACTGACTGAGAACAGTTAATACCAGCGCAGTGCCATCTGTGCTGCACAGGCATCACACAGCACATCTGCTGCGTATGAAACAGCCTGTTACTGAGGAACGACGAGCACCCAGCTCCGGCCAGGAAAACGCACACTGCCTGCAGATCGCATGACGGGCTAATAGGCCGTGAAGCCTGGCCTTTAATTACAGCCGGCCGTCTCCCGAAGGCGTCCGCCTCGGCCGGCCCGTCGTACGCCTCCTGTCTGCCCTCATCGCCACCATCCTTCAAAAATATAAGGCATTAGCCGGCAGTCGCTATTTTCATAATTCAATTGACTCAGCGAGGCTTGGCGGCTCCCCATCCCCCACCGTCTCTCACGTCGGGCAGCCAATCGAGAGCTTCCGCATTTAACATGATGGGTGCAGCCATTACACATCAGCCAATAACACATCAGCCAATAACACATCAGCCAATAACACATCAGCCNACACATCAGCCAATAACACATCAGCCAATAACACATCAGCCAATAACACATCAGCCCAATGGCTGGTGCTCAGCAGCATCCACCGTGTTTATTGCCTCTGGAGCTGCAGAGTATAAATAAAGGCAGCAGACGGGGCTGGGGGGAGGGGGGGGGACAAGCTTTTCTGAAGACTGATTAGCGGACCAGTTAGGGGAAGGAATAAACAAAGGACATTTGATTCAGTGGGCAGGAAAAAAAACCAGGGGGGTGGTAGCAGGGGATACCCATCCAGTTGGGGGGGGGGGGGGAGACACTAGAAAATCCCCCTCATGCATTCAGGAAGTGTAGATGATGTCTGAAGGATCTCATATGCGGCACGTGATCAGAAACATTCTCCTGCCTTGACATTCATTTCTGCCACATACAGTCCAGGTAACACAGAGAGACACTGATTAAAACACGCATATGGTGACTGAACATGAAAGACACTTCTGAGGGAGGGAAAAAAACATCGCAGTAATCTGGCAAATCTCCTACATGACACACGCAGTACTGAAGGCACCTTTGGGGTTATTTTCTGCATGTTTTCTTCACTACACGCTTCCCTCCCCCAGCATGCAGCCCCGTGAAGACTCTGTCGCCCCGAAATGCCCGGTGCTCTGCCCAGAAAGGGGTGCTGTGTGTGTGATTAGCACAATAAAGAAGGTGTCCCGGCATGGGGGCCACGCAGCAGAGGCGTAAAAGCGCAGCCCGTTTCATGCGCGCAGGGTCGGCGAGAGACAGCGGGGGGGATGGGGTGGCTGCTTCTCCGCGATGCAGGAGTCGGGCTTTTAGCTAGAACCTGATTCCAGAAGCCCTGAGAGAGCGAGCCTAGCCTAACCGGCCTTGTGGGCGTCCGATTTCTTAAAGCCCCCCAGAGCTCTGGGGGGGCAGCTGGTCTCTCCAAAGAGCTTTACGCAGATACAATGCCGAAGACCCAAGAACACACTTATATACGGGCATGTTGACTCTGCATAAACGACAGACACTAACTGCTAAGACTAGCTAAGCTTTTCTAGTTAACCACATACTATTTGCCAGGAGAAGAAAGCAGTTATGGGAAAGAGGATGGATGGATGGATGGATGATTTGCCACAGTACTGGGGAACCTAACCAGCATCTCCATCATGTTCTAAGCATTAAACAAACCCAAAGGTAGCTCCCTCAGAAGAGGAACACCCTCTGTTTTGATGTGCGTTGTTGTTTTCATGATACCGTCACAGATAAAGACGTCCCGCGGATAAACGGATCCCACCCACATAAAAAGCGTGGCCGGCTCTCCTTCGCTCCCGAGCTCAGGGCAGATCTGGGGAACAAGCAGCCTTAGAAGAACCGCTCTGCCCGACCTCTGGGCTTCACACACATTCTGCGGACGCCGTACAGCATCTCCTGCCATCCGCCCCACTGTTAATACCATGCGCACACTGACATCTTCCGAGATAAGTCAGACGTCACTGAAACTTTCTGCCCTTCTGCAACAGTGTTAACTTTGCCTCCTATCAAAACTGAACCATAGATACATACACAATGCAATTCAATACAATTCAAGAAAAAGTCATTGCCAGTACTTCACATTGGTAATGATTGCCCTTTAACAGTATCCTCCCTCTCTTTTTCCGCACAATCCTCTTACCTGAGGTACCGAAGTGGTTCATTGGGCTCAGAGTCTGGATCATTGGAGCTGTGGTTCATATTGCAGATCTGTAACAGCTTAGGATAGTTCTGAGCAAAGGCTTTTAGGCAAAGCAGAGAATAGCAAGTCCCCGCGTAACGCTCTTCCTGTGTTTAATGCTCTTCCTGCGTTTTACGCTCAAAGACCTGCTTTCTCTCTCTCCCTCTCTGTCGTCTGTGCTGGCTTGCTCTCCAGTAGAAGTACCTCTGTGTGTCTGTGTGTGTGTGCGTGCGAGAGCATGTGTGTATGAGCTTTCACAGCCAGCAAAGCTGACCAATTAAGAATCAGGAGGATCTGGTGCGAGCAAGCTGATTGGCCAGGAGCACCATGCACAGTTTGGTCCACAGCAGCCTGCAGGAGCAGAAGAGGGGAAACCTGAAGAAACTGGAGAGTGGATTGCTGGCACCGAGGAGCCACTAATAGCAATTATTATTATTATTATTATTATTATTATTATTATTATCATCATCATCATCATCATCATCATCATCATCATCATCATCATTATTATTATTAATAATAATAATAATACTTCTCAACCTAAAGCTAAACTACTTACAATATTTGATAACAAATAATGCCAAAACATAAACATGTAAATCAATCATTTAGATACTTTGTCAAATAGAAAATCTACCTTTCAACATTTGCCTGCGTACCTCTAAGTGCTACATTTGCTACACACTGGCTCAATAAAAAATACAGGACTAAGACTAACAGGTGGTATTATATATGGAGGGGGGGGGTGGATTCCTTGTATTTATTAATGCTGTGCTGCAATGAGAGGAGAATCTCATTACTCAGATGTACAGTTAAAGATTAGGTATCCCAGAATTCTGTTTTCCTCTTCCATCCATTTATCAACAGAAATCCCTCTCAAGCTGAAACTCGGGCTGTCAGGTGGGATAAATGGAAGCCTGTCAAACAGAGGGCAGTCATACACACTACAGAAATCTGGGAGTCAGTAAGTCAGCGGGACAGAGTGGCCCTGGATATGGGGACAAAGCCATAAATTCGTCCAAAAACAACTTCACTATAGGAATGACCTGAGTAAAATACCCACCCCCAATGAAATAAAACAAATATTTTGAAATAGTTTCATTTTTATACCGTGTACTGAAATATAAAAGAAAGACGTGTGTGAGCACTCTCCCATCTCTTAATGGAAATGTGCCCATCGCTGCCTGCCACCTTGTGGTCATTCGATGTAATGGCAATGTCGCCTTGTATATGAAGGTGGTTTGCGAGGACACCGAAATGCAGAAAAATCTGATTCACTGACAACTTTACAGAAGCTTATTTTTACCAGTGAGGGGAAAAGCATTTTCATCGCAAAGGAACGATAATTATGGTACGTCGGCTTAAAACAACATGAAACCAAAGAGTGAAGGAGCTTCTTGAGGACATTTTTATACTCTAAGAATTAACACATTTTTCCTTCTTTCTTGCCACCATTTGAAACAAAATTATTAAAGGCATTTTGGTGGCAAACAAATGTTGAAATTATGCTACCTAATAAGGAAGAATTTAAAGCTATTATTCTGTACTATTCTACTTCTGAATATTTTAGTGATTTTGGTTAAAATATTCCCATAACCCACAGCCTTGAACAGGGTGAGCAGTTGAAAGACGGATGAACGGGTGGATGGATATTCCATCAAGTAACAGGTTATAACTGGTGTTCTCAGTAACAGCACTGAAAACTCTCCTAATTACAGTGAGAAGTTCCTCAGAATACACTGCCCACTGATTTGCTGAAGAACACTGCTTCAGTTCCCGAACTTCGCCGGCATCACAGCCATTCCACATATACACTGAAATTTCACCACCAGTTCAATTAATTAATTTAACTAGTTAAACAATTCAATGAGGTATTGATTAGCCAAACATGGTATGCTAATGGTTAAGTTAAAAATACATCTAAGCACTTATGCAAGTTGCTCTGGCTAAGGGTGTCTTGAAAGATTGCTGCAAATACTAAGGTGACTTTAAGAGAGGTTTTGAAATGGCTGACAAACATGATAGTTTTACACCAGCATTTAAACAAATTTCTTTTGACTGCCTAAGACTTTTGCATAGTACTGCATATAACTGTCACAAGTCATAGGTCCATTTTTAACTAGACAAGGAACATACACAAGGTTCAAAAATAGTTTTTTTTTTTTTTTACCGATTTTGTCCACAGAACATTTCTCCTCCTGTATTGTGTAATAGGCACACAAAAAATATTCATGCTAATTTTAAAAATGCATTTAAAAAACATGTTGCGGGTGACACATGAATCTTTTTCATATAATGTCAGGCTACGTCATAACCAGTATTTGGAGTTCAAAGCGTGGTGTTCAGGTAATGTTACTTTAAGGTTCCCACGCGATTTAAGTTGGCCATACTAAGGGTAAATTTTAATTTAAAAATAAACTAATTGCTCGTTTAAATTAATGGCACAAAATGTGAGAAAGCTGGTGGATAGTGAAAGAAAACGTGCAAAATATGCACGGTGTTGCCTAGCAACACACCAACGATGATTTTAAAATCAAGTAGTGCAACAACATACAATTCAGTATTATTTTACGTCAGTGCCTCAATCAACAGAACAGCTTAATTGCCTTCTGAAATACAGTTTATGCAACTAATTATAAAAATACGTCTACATCGAATTGTGAGGCACTTAATCAGTTGATGTTTCCTTTGAAATCCTACTCTAACAGCATCCTTATCATATATGCAGGTCAAATTAAGGTCTAACTATAGGTATTAATGCAACTTTTGGGCTGTAGTCTGGGGAGGGAAACTCGTCTAAAATATGTTGGACTTGATGTAAGGATCAATATCAGCTATATATTTACATCGGTCAAGAAAATGCAAACGGACAAAGATTTAGGAGAAACGGGCTACTGATCAGATAGAACACTGGGGGAGGGAGGATCCTCGAAAATAAAACCTGCCAATTCGCACAAGTATACAGTTCGGGATGAAAACCGTGCGGCTCGGCCAGCACTTTTCTGACCAGGCAGCTGAGGATTTGGGGGGAAGTCTAACCTGCCGAGATCGTACAAGTCTATGGATCAATGGAAGTCAAAAGTTGAATTACATTGTTTTGGAAGCGGCCTCCGGTGTCTTGCTTCAGCAAATATACAGCATGTCCCAGAACAAGGATCTACCGCCACCCAGTGGCGGATCACGGCAAGAACAGTATGGGCAATTTCCTAGGGTGGCATCTTCTGATGCGTTGTCCTCCCTCCTCTGATGGAGAACTTTAACCATCGCCACCCCCTCGCCCGGCCGACAGCTTTGGGTAGTGAAGCTTGCCTAGGACGCCAAATGGGCTTCGACTGCTACTGTCTCCACCATAAGGTCTGTGTGAGAATATACCAAGTACACTAAAGCGGCAGGTCACCCAAAGCAGATTAAAGATATGTTTTAGGGGGGCTTTGTGCTATCCATACAACTAGGCTGTTCTGCTAGGAGTTGCCTAGTTTTGGAAATATCGACGGTAGAAATGTCGAGCTTCTCTCCAGCATAAATGAGAGTGAATTGCATTTTTTGTGGTAAGAGCGCCAGAATAATACATTTGAAAAATTCAACTGCAATGTCTCCTACCAGAAATCATGACCCAGTCACTGAAGCTAATCCAGACCCTGAAGTGAACAGTTTAATATATGAATTACTTTATTCTACCGAACTCCATGTACCAATTATATCACTACGCACGCGATACGAGCGCGAGCATGGTATCTTCTGCGCAGTGATATGATCGGTGTGTGGAGTTCGGTAGAAGAAAATAGTTCGTACATTAAACTGCTCACTACAAAGACTGGATTATCGTCAATATCCCACCATGACTTCTGGTAATAACACTGCTGCTGAATTTTTCAAATGTATTTTCCTTGCGCTTTAATCACCACCGAAAGAATGCCACGCACCCCTATTATATTTGTGAGAACCCCAACGTTTCTACAGCCGCTTTCTCTAAAACTAGGTAACTCCCAGCAGTACAACCTAGATGAATAGATAGCACTAAACCCCTTCTAAAACGTACATATTTTTCAGTTTTGGTGTGAACTGCCCCTTTAATTTCAGGGAGAAGGATGAGGTTCTGGATAGGCTTTCGCCATTTAACCTGCCGATGCATAAGAAAATGGATGGGTCACTCTTGACTAAAAAACATTTTATACATTGTGGATTTGATTTATGCTCCCCAGCAAAAATATATATCGCAACCAGATTGATGTCTATTACCGTTCAAAAGTGCAACCATTTTTAATAAGATCAGTTTACACAGAGATCTTTACTGGAAATCTGAGAAAAGTAGCATCGCCCCCAATGGGATCCTATCCTGTGGTTTTGAAAACTGTCGGATGTGGCCTGCAAGAATCCGGTTTTATGATTTTTTTTCCCCCCTAAATGTTTACACCGTGAATATAATACTCATTGGCATTTATGTTTGCCGATTTACGATTTCTTGCTACAGCAGAACTAACACTGAAATTTATATCCGAAAAGTTCTTGCATAGCAGCTACTGAGAAGATCCCTCAGCAAAATGCACTGCATGAGTGACATACATGTGGCCACAGCTACTATGAAACCGAGGTGACTTACAAAGTATCCATTCCCTTTCTCTTAAAACTTTTGGCTTAATAAAAAGGCAAGTTACAAGTTATGGTGTAGTTTAAGTTACAAATTCAGAATATATATGCAGAAAAACACACTGTGCAGGGGGACGTGACCCTCTGGGAGCTCTCACAAGGGGTCATGAGATGAATTGCATTTTAAACATGAAAAAAAAAATCCATTTTAAATTGTGATAAAATTACTGCGTGGGAACCCACCCACTCCATTTGGCAAAAATTGGGCCGTGACTGGCATTCATTTCAGAGGTTACATGCTTAGGATTTTCCAATTCCAGACCTGCTCAAAAAGTGGTGCAGACTGGCTTGTCCAGGACCGAAACTGGGGCACCCCGGTCCAGTACTAGGTCTTTTATCAATGAAGCATTTCACTTCTGCCCCAGGCTGCCATGTGACAAGCTAACCAATCAGACGAGCATCAAGCTTGGGTCTGCCCATCTGAATAGTTTTATCCTGGCTTAATACAATGACAAAAAATCATCAAGAAAAGCAATGAAATAATGGACCAACATTGACAGAAAACAAAGGGGTTAAAATTAGTTTATTACTTCGATAGAGCAGGGGGGAAAAAAAACAAATTGAAACATTACTTAATCCTTACGTAGGAGGGTGCAATGCAGTGTGTAGTGCTATAGCACCCCAAGGAAATGGAATGGTGTGAGATGGTGGCAGGCAACGCCCTGCGGGGGAGGGGGGGGCAAATTTCCACACAGCTTAAAGAATGTACAAAAGAAAGAATGGAATTGAAGTAAAACATAACAGCAACCAACTGACCAGAGAAACCCCAAACACCATCCCACAACAACTGAGTGCACTGCCAGACAAAATCAAATTGTTTTAAAAGCTGGACATTTTTTTTCCCTTTTTCTTTTTTTTCCTTTTTTTTTTTTTTTTTAAATAAAGCAGGAACACAAATCCAAATCAAAAACGAAGCTGCACGCGGACAAAATGTGCAACCTTAAAAATCTAAGCCTTGTTTTATTTTCGTTTATGCTTAAGATGAAAGCAAGTGAATTCAAGGGTCTAAACGAACAACCGCGGTCGCAGGCGGAGCCCAGGGAAGAGCGCCAGTGACTCTGCGACACGCCCACGCACTGCCCAAGCGATGCCCAAGCGATGCCCTGCATCTCAAGGAGCCCCCTCCACCCACCCACCTATGACAATATATTAAACACCAACGGTCAGTGCTGGCTAGGAGATCACTTCCGGATGACGCACAGAACCAGGGCTGCCACGTGCAGAACGTCATCAGTTTGAGACGACTCGCCAGGGTCCACAGAGCTACATTCCAAATAGTGTCCATTAGTCTTTTGTTCAAGTATAACGGGAGCAGAGGAGCCGCTGGAAAAACAAAATTAACTGAGGCCAGAAATTCAGTCGTCATGTTCAACACGCACACGCTCAGATCACCTGATATGGGAGAGGGGTAACTTCAGCTTTAGCATCCAGTCACAGCTGAAATAGAGCAGAAAATACCTAGTATGGATTATGTTTCAGATATTACCTTCCTGTTGTCTGAGGGTTATCCTAATCTAGATACAAAAATTAAAAAAAATCACTGGGAAACGAAGCAAATGTGAAATAGCCCCATCGACTGGCGGAAATTCTGTAATAAAACCTTTCAATGATGCAGCGTTCCGAAACAGGAAAGAACAAAACCTACTAACTTCACAGATGGGAGGGGGAACTGTAACTCAGTCACGTACAATAATCTTAGAAAATAAAACAAGAATCCTCCCCAGCTCTGTGTGATGTCAATTTAACATGAGGCAGCACATTTGTTGATAGACTTTTTTCCCTCCATTTAATATACATTTGTTTTTGCAAAGCTGAAGCAGTCTAGCATTCTGTTGAGTCCACTAAAACCCAGCCGAAATCCCCGCCATCCTATTCACATTCCTGCCACCGGAGGCCGCTCTATCGTCAAAGAGGATCCTGGTACGTCCGTCTGGGCGGGCGACGTGTGACCCAAGGTGAGTCGTTCCCTCCGTGTGCCACTCGGTTGGGCTGATTAAGCTCCCAAAGGATGGCGGGGGAAGCGGCGGGGGGGGGGGGGC